CATTATTTTTAGACAGAAATCAACATCCCCGGGCTCGGAAGTGGCTCGGAGGGATGCCGACCCTCCCCACCCACCCTCCTCTCCCGTAATGCAGTTCCCTCTCTGGTACCCAAGGCCACGGTTGCAATTTGGGTTTGTTTATTTTTTTTTTTACCTTTTTTTTTTTTTTGGCCGGGATCTAAATTTGGAGCGCATTCTTCCCCTGCTCTGAAGAGCTCCCAGAGCCTGGCCGGGGGGGAGAGAGGGAGGCATCAGATGACATGACAAAATAAGTCATGTCTCTCGATCATTTCAATGCCACCCCCTCTCTCCCGGCCTCTGCCTTCCATTTTAATCACTGACAGGCCTTCAAGTATTATGGATATATATAATCTTTTTAATATCACTGACATTTTCCATACTGGAAAGCATCTCCTGTGTGCTGAGACATTCTGGAGGGGGATCGTGCCTTCCTTCTGATGCTCCCACCGCACAACGCGCAGAGCTGAGATTCATCTTGCCCCAGGTCCCGGCACTGAAGGTCTGAAGCTCCTGCCTTGGGTTGCAGGGAGAAGGCAGCGGGGAGGCCACGTGCCTTCAGGGGCTTTGCAGATCTCATCAGCCCGACTTTCCCAACAGGCTCTAGCCCTGCAAGCTGAACGTGCATCCAGCTGCAGCCTGTGAGAAGAACACCTCCAGCATCCCAACCGTCCTCCAGGTCAACCTGGAGAACACCCCAGTTCGGGTGGCGGGAGGCATTCTTCATGGTTGCCCAAGATCCAGGCCTTCCTCTCCCTCTGTTCCCAATGCTCCCAGTTCACCTGCATCAGACGGCGGAGGCAGCCAGCTTGCCCCTCTTCAGGCACTGATTTTTTAATAAGCAAAGTGAACCTCTCCACAGGGACAACACCCTACGAGCCATAGTGGGGCTGCACCAACTTGGGGTTCGCTTTGCTAGGTGGCCCACAACCCTGCCATAGCAAATAGGACCCAGCAAGGCTCTAAAGCCAATTTCCCTCAGCCCTGGGGGGCCCTGCTCACCCAGACCCCCTCAGCCATTGAGAAGCCTCTGGAAACGCACTGTCACCTTCTGCTTGCAGCATTTTCCTGGAATTCCCCTTCCCGGCCTCCCTAATAGTTACGGTGTCTTCAGACCCCGACTCACGTGATGGGTTTGGTATGCAACTCCGAAGACCAGGAAGGTCGCTCACCTCTCACAACACAAATTATTAACACTAATACAAATAACGCCCAGGTTTGGGAGAGGAGAAGGAATACTCTCCTTGCCCGGCTGTTAGGACTTGGCATTATAGGGACTAGAGCATCCACACATCCTTCAGAGTGCAGCGCTGACCAGCCCTGAGGGTCTCTGCTCTAGTGACAGAACCCACATCTCACACCAGGCCTGTAAATGAGAGGTACATGTTTCTAAAGGTGTTCTGTGGAAGCCAGCTCTAATTCCACTGCAGTTCCAGTCATGTAACTTCCACAAATCAATGCAAAAGAAAAAAAAAAAAAGCAGCTGGCTCGGAAAAAGCTGCAGCAGCCAGACAGCAGAGTATTGTGCTTGTTGGCCCAGCACATCTCTTCCTGTGTGCTGCTTGTACCTTGTCCCTCGAGGACATTCTTGTCCAAGGCTGTAAGAGGCACTAGCAATGTTTATGACAAAAAATTACGACTATTTGCAGCATTCAGGTTTGTTCTTCGCAGAAGTTCTTATGCCACCCCCCCGCCCTGGGCCACGAGGCTCCTCCCTTGGAAGGGGAGACCAGCCTAGGACATTCTTCCATGGTACGTGACTGATGTGAAACTCCTATCTACCTGTTTTCATATTAACAAGTTTTCCTGTGAGCAGAGGTATACATGGAGCCTGCTTTCTATAGGCTGGACTGGAGGCACAGATCTTGTGAATGGGCTTTGCCATCTTTCAAGGTAAAGCTACCCAATAAAAGTATTTCCTGCTTTTGAGACAATCACGTTGCCTCTATAACGTGCAGACTCCCTCTTGTCTAGAAACAGATGGCTTGAGCTGTTTGAGTTGGGCATATTCACAAGCTGATAATCATCTCCAGGGAGGCAGGAGCTATTGTCAGAGCCTGTGAGACACACCCCAACTTCAGGCCTTTTTCCTTCTAATTCTCAAAATGTTGCTGAAATTCTCACTACAGGAATGCTGAGCAGAGACATTCCCTTTGTGGGTTCATGCCCGCTAAGCCAGAAAAGGCTGCTAGCTTTCACAGAAGCCAAAGTGCTTCCCCACACCCCACTAAGAGAAAGCATCTCAAAACATGAGGGGCCTCACCTGGCCAGCAAAAAAAATAAGCTGCACTTTGCCATGGTACTGCCAGGAGCCAAGGGGAAGAATACATCCTCACCCCAGAGACAGCACATGAGTTAAAATGAGAAAGTAAAAGAAAACAATTCTGCAGAAGGAACAGTTATTTTACACTACGTGCAGCTCCAAGATGCGTGTCAGCGTGGCTGCCAATGTAAAAGAGCACGTGCCCGAGGCACACACGCCTGGTGCAACTGTGCAGCGATGTACAGAATTTCTAACAGCAATGCTCAGCACGGATATGCATCTGCTGCCGTAGAATCCCAAAGGTATCACAAACCTCAATTAATAATCTACACTGATGTAATTTCTTTACAGGGCCAAAGCCTTTCTGGGGAATGCCGTCCAGCTGCTTTTGCAGGAAGATGGCACTTTACTGACATACGCCATGTCTCTCTTGATGCCAGGTCAAGAGAGACCCTGCACTGAGCTCGCTCTGCCTTGGAAACCTGCTCTGACCCAAGCCCAGCTGCAGAATGTGCAACACTCAGACCTGGAATGCCTCCACAGAAAGCTCCATTCCAGCTGCAATGCACAAGGAAACCCAGAGAGAAAGCAGTGATAAGCCCAGACGTGCATGCAGGCTGCAAGAGGCAGCACGGATGGCTCTAACACAAGGCCTTACCATGCTCACAATATTTATGGCATGAATTTCACTCACTTGAATTCAAGAGTGATTAGTCCTGGAAGGAAGCAAGTAAGAGCTGGCTCAGAATGGGGCATGGGTACCTTGAGCTGGATGGAAAGAGATGGCAAGATCAGCACAAGAAGTAAACCAATGGGTATAAAACCAGGCAGGGTAGCACACCCTTTGGGATAGTGCTGTCAGCAAGTCCTGAGAGCAGACTGGACAAGAGTCAAAAATATGATCAAAAATGGGATGAATTTTTCTAAGTTACTATCCTGGTAGTTGGACTCATGAGTACAAGGGACGCTCTCTGCTCACTCACCTGCTAGCCAAGCAAGATCAAGAAGCAAAGAATAAGACATATCTCATGTTGACTGGCGCTTTTAAATTCTTCTTCCTTAGCAGAAATGCCAGTATTTGCCAGTCTTAACGGTTTCTGAGGCTGTGATATTTCTTGCCTTGTCTCTTCTTGGCAAGCGATCATCTGTGGAAGTAACAGATGATCTAGCAATATTCTCACATCACAAGATGTCACAAAAAAGGCAGGCCAGTATTTGCAATCACTGCATCATGCCAGAAAGAAGAATCGCCACCTGATCTGTGTAAATATGGTTATTTATTTATTTTTAAAAGTCTATTTCTAGTTATAAAGGCCTTCACTCTCCCACTTTAGAGCACCTTTTTTCTTTAGTTCCTCAAATAAAGAAACCATTTTGCTCACCATTGAATCCAGCAGTCCATAAACCTGCAGCAGAAATTAACAGAAGATAGTTGCAGTGAAAACACATGAAGAAATCTTGATGACCAGACTGACAGACAGAGAGATGGTTTCTCACACACATTAACGT